GCGCAGGGAGATGGGGCAGGCTGCCGGGTGTGCCCCCCAATCCCCTTCCGCCTAGCTCTTCCCCCATGCCCTGTTTGAAAGGCCCCCACTGTAATGCTCAATGGTGGGTTGCCAGGCAGGGGGAGGACCACAGAGGTCACATTGGGTGGGAGGAGCTCTTGAAGGGGACAAGTTGGATTTCTTTCTCTTGTCAGAGGGCCATGCATGCACATGTCTGCGGCAGGGGAGGGAGGCAGAAAGAGAAAGCACCATTGGGGGCCTGGTCACGGGCAATCCCTCTTCCTCTATCGATCCTGGGCACACGTGGTGTGAAGCCGATGGAGCTGAGACGCACACTGACTGGTTACGTGGGATCTGGCTTCCTCTGCAGCACCTAGCTACTGTGCTCCGGGGCTGCCTGTAGCTGGATCTCAAGCCCTCTCTCCCTCCAGGACCGTCGAGGGGGAATTCACGGGAGTCGGCAAGAAGGGGCAGGCGTGCGTACAGCTGGCCCGGGTCCTGCAGTACCTGGAGTGTCCACAGTAAGGGTGACTTCCCTGAGCAGGAGGGCTGGGAAGGTGGAGGTCAGGGAGGCGGCTTGCCCTGGGCCATCCTGAGACCCGTCTCCTATACAAGGTACCTGAGAAAGGCGTTCTTCCCCAAGCACCAGGATCTGCAGTTTGCAGGTAGGACAGGGGCCATTTCCCCTTGGTCACCCCTAGACACCAGAATACCTCTGGGCCACCACCTGCTGTTGTGTGGGAAGGCAAGCCAACGCCTATTGTGCAGAGGCAGGCCTGTGGAGAGCTGGCACGTGAACCAGGGTCCCCACCTCTCTCCCTCCATCCTCTGTGCTTTAGCACCTCCCAGACTCCTCTGGCCCCTCCCTCTCCCCGTCAGGGCTCCTGAACCCCTTGGACAGCCCCCACCACATGCGGCAGGATGAAGAATCGGAGTTCCGAGAGGGTGTCGTGGTGGACCGGCCCACCCGGCCGGGCCATGGCTCCTTTGTCAACTGCGGAATGAAGAAGGTGAGACTGTGCAGGTGGACACCTGTCCACGGCACCCTGCCCGTCACAGGCAGGGTAGGCAGGAGCATGTGGTGGAGACTCTGCACCTGCCTGCTAGTGCCCCTTTGTAGTTTTGGGCCAGAAGTGCCCAGAACTGGGTAAGTAGATAAGAGCCAGAAGCGAACATAACTGGCTTTTTAAAAGCAAATCAACAGAAGACAGTTGCGTTCGTAACAAATCCAAGCCCTGCAGAAGCAAGTTAGAAACCCCTCCGGAGCTGCTCCAGTGTGGTGCAGAGCCAGCTGGGTGGGAGGAGGCCTCTCCCAGAGCCAGAGGCAGAAACAGCTGTGGTGTGGGATCCCCACCGTTCAAAAAGGGCAGACCAGGCCCAGCCATGGTGCGCGGTGGCGGCACACTGCTCCACAATGCTGGACCCACAGGAAGGCCAGGGATTGACCCCTGATTGACCAGGTGTGTGGGGCGTGGTCCCGGCTAGCTGGGAAGGCTGCGGGAGGGTCGTGATGGAACACCCTGTTGAGGGTTTCCGGCCTGCCTCTCTCAATCAAAGCAGCTTTGTTTTTTAGGTTTTTGCCATAGGGCACATACACTCAGCAAAGAGAGACTGAGACAGTGGGCAAAGAGAGACTGAGACAGTGAAAGGGAAAAGTGGGAAATCTTCCCCTCCCCCCACTGGAATGGCCATGCCACAGTCCCTTCTCCTCCGGAGACTTGGGGCATACATGCACATGCGCCCAGTGTGATTTTCAAGCCACCAGGTCCAGGTCTTGAACCACGGTTCAAGAGTCCAGTGCTTTAACCACTATACCACTTGCTGACCCCAAGAAACTTTTTTTTTCTTTTTTCTTTGGAGAGATTTTTGCTATAGGACACGTGCGCTCGCCAGACAGAGAGAGACAGAGAGACAGAAAGCGAGAAATCACCCCCAGGGGGGATGGTCACACCGCAATCCCTTCTCCTCCATTCTCCTCTCGGGATCTTGGGCACGCACGCACACGCGCCCGGCGTGAGTTTTAAGCCAGCGGGTCCGGGATGTGAACCATGGTCGACTACATGGGAGTCCAGCGACATAGCCATTACGCTAACTGCTGGTTCCCAAGAAACTTTTTAAAACGACCAGAAGGAACTGGTTAAAAGCAGACAAGGCTGGGGGCCAGCAGGTGCTGTGGTAGTTAAGGGTGCTGGACTCCCACATCGCCAACTATGGTTCAAGTCCCAGGCCTGGCGGCTTGCTTTCTCACTTTCCCTCTCTCTCTGACCCAATTAAAAAATAAACAAAGTTAAATTAAAAATAATTCTTTAAAAAATAAGGCAGACAAGGATGACAAAGACACCAACAAAAGGGGAGAAGCGCGAGAAACCCTCCACAGGAGAAGAAAGTGCCGACTGTGAAAAGATCCGATCGGCACAAAACTCGGTTGTTATTCGTTGCAGGCCTGTGTGCGGCATTTCAGGCCAGCCTAAGCAGTGTGACAATAGTTCTTGCTCATGGAGACAGATGAGGAAACTGTCGCAGGCTAAGGGACTTTCAAACAGCTCATGAGTGGCAGGTCCACCTATGCAGAAAACAAGGATTTCATCCATTTGTGAAACTCCTACTTTGCCAGGCCCCGAGGGTCCGTTTCTGACCAGTGTCTTTGATGGTCGTTTGGCACAAGTGGTCTGTAGGCAGGCCCTGCCCAGGGCCACAGTGGGAGGTACTTTGCGCCACCAGCAGGGTCTGGGAGAGTGGGACCCCCTTTGGTCGTGGGAAGAATGGCACCCACTTATGGTTCTCTCCAGGAGGTGAAGATCGACAAGAACCTGGAGCCTGGACTGCGGGTGACTGTGCAACTGAGCCAGAAGCAGCTCCCAGGTATCTGGAAGCTTCCCCAGCCCCTGCAGTGGCCTGGCCAGCCCTGGGGCTCAGAGCCCCCTCCCCACTCCTCCCTGTCCCCTCACCCTATCCTTACAGCCTGTTTCTCCTCCAGAATGCAAGACCTACCGTGGAAAAGTTGTGTCATCCCAGGACCCTCGCACCAAAGCTGGTCTCTACTGGGGCTACACTGTCCGACTGGCCTCCTGCCTCAGTAAGCACAGAGTCCCTTCCCCGAGCATCAGCTAGCCCTCCGTCTGAGAGGCGGCTGGGAACACCGTTTCCCCAAATCAGACCAGGGTCTTTGTCCTCCCAGCTTACTGTGTCCTAGGGCAGGTGTCCTCCCCTGGGCCTTGTTCTCCCTGACTGCGCTGCCTAGAACACTTTTAATGACTTCTGAGGAGAAAGTTTAATGATATGATGTCAGTGGTGGGACCCAGGGCAGGATCGGGTGGGTCCGAGGTCCACCGTGCATTCTTGCCTCCCCTTCCTACCCTCCCAGCGGGCACAGGCTTGGTCTCACCCTGCACATTGGCTTCCCAGGGAAGTGGAGGGCCTGGGTGTAGCTCCCTTAGCTGTACCCCCTCCTCCACCTCAGCCACCCCGCAGTACTCACAGCCAAGAGGCTGCAGCTCTGGGGGTACAGGGCCCCGACCGAGCTGGTCCATCCCCCAGGCGCTGTGTTTGCTGAGGCTCCCTTCGAGGACGGGTATGACCTGACCATCGGGACTTCCGAGCACGGCTCAGATGTGGGGTCTGCACAGCTGCCCAGCTTCAGGTAGGTCCTGCCGGGGAGACTGGAGCTGGGAGCTAGTGAGGAAGAGCTGTACAGGCAGGGTCGTCACATGGGCAGCTGAGTGCTCTGAGTGGTCCGCATTCCTCTCTTGTGCCAGGCATGCCCTCGTGGTGTTCGGGGGCCTGCAGGGCCTGGAAGCTGGAGTGGATGCTGACCCCAACCTGGAGGTGGCCGAGCCCAGTGTCCTCTTTGACCTGTATGTCAACACCTGCCCAGGCCAGGGCAGCCGCACCATCCGCACCGAGGTGAGCCCACCGGCTTCTCGGGACTGTCCAGGAAGGTTGCACCTGGGGCCCACCCCCAAGGCTGCCTCCCTTAGAGCTCCTGCCCCCTCTGCCTCTTGCCCAGACTTGTAGCTGGAAGTCGAGAATGCTGGGGACTAGCACTATTCCCGTGCTCCCAGGCTGGCGGGCACCCCTGCCCAGGGCCAGCATCCTAGCTGCGTGCTCAGTGGCCCTCAGTGGGACGGCAGCTGTCCTCCCGGGCCTCAGCTCAATCTCTCCTTGGGGAGCAGCCTGGGCTAGACCTGAGCGCCTCAGACCTGGGCACCCCTGAAACATGCACACCCACTTCTGGGGTCAGCCCAGGGTGCTGCACCTGCAGGCACTTGGGTAGGCTCTGCTGCTCCCACCAGTCTCAGAGGGTTAGTGACTAAACGGGACAGCCTCTGTCTTCCTGTTCCTGAGCCTGCAGGACTGTTTCTTCCCTCCCGAGCTGTGGGCCATGCAGCTTGCCAAGTGGCAGGTCCTTGAGCTCAGCA